AGTTGGTAGTGCCAATAGGACGCTGAAAGCAAAAGAGCAGCTGAGCTATTTTAAGGTCTGTTCTTCCAGCAGTTTGGTGCACATCTTGAAGAAAAATAAGAATTAAAAAAAAAGAAATGACACCAAACTGCTCTGTTTTCATTGCATTATGCAGATGAAATGACAAGTTGTCATTTAAGAAGTTAATAAACAGTCACCATTTTGCAGGTTATCCAAATGCTACTGAATAGAAAACCTTGGATCCCTAAATGATGTGTAATTAAAATTATTTTAAAAATCCTCCTTGACAGGCCAGGGCTTAGCCAAAATGTAAATGACATTAAAGAAGACAATGAATTTAATTTTATTTAATGTCCCTTTTTGCAGATCCTCATTTACATAGCATTTTTAACAAAAGCGTTGACCTTATAAATGCTGGCATTTGTACAGCTTCTGCAGAGTTGGATTTAATCATGCTTTCGCAAAGCCATAAGGGAAAAAGCTTTAAGTTCTCTGGTTGGATATGGAGTAGGAATAAAAACATTGGGACTGGTCAAATGTTTATCCTCCTTGCTTCTGAAAACAACCTGACAAGAAGATGTAAAGGTCTAGGGAATAACCCATTGCTGTTTGTAAGGCTTGGTAATAATCATACATAATCGTTTGGAAATATAGCTAATAAAAAATATAATGAGTGTTCAGCAAAATCGGCATTAGGCCCAAATTACATGATATTAATACTTGAACAGGTGCAGAAAGGCGCTTTAAATGAGGTAAATGAATAAAATGTCCCAGAGCACAACTGTGTGCACTGACAAAAAGTCAATCACATGAATAATTCAGCGGCCGGGACTGCCAGCAAAGGTCAGCGGCTCTCACCTTTGTGACGGGAAGTGAAAGGAAACGCTGCTGACGAAAAAAAAAACCCCCCTCGCCCTCCAGCCGCCACCGCCACCCCGCCGAAGGTGTAAACTTGGAGTAGGGAGGAATTAAAGCGCTGCACCGGCGAGCCGGCAGTGAAAAAAAAAAAAAGGAAAAAAAAATTAAAAAAAAAAAAAAACCACCAGCGTGAACAGCCAAGTCGTTTAGGGAAAATAATCTGAAATTACAGCCAGGGAAAGGTTAAGGGGGGCGGCTACCAGCAATGTCAATTATCTCCCAAATCTGAGGTCAGGCAAAAGGTATTTTAAGAGCCTACAGGATTGAAATTTTGTAACAGCTGTTAAATATGACAAAACTTTTTATTCCCCCAAACTAAAGCTATTCCAAACTCCGTATGAAAGAAATGGGATAAGCAGATGTCTGGCTCCCATACAGGAAAGTAGGACACACTTGGAATGATAAGTCTCCTAAACTCTATAGAATAATGCCAGATTTATTGGGGAGGGGGGTATTTACTGCCCACGGAGATGCCAACGAGCAGTAGGGCTGTGATGGTACCATCTGGAAACCCTCTGCCGAGCAGGCGCTGGYGATGCTCCGCCAGCACATCCAGCGCCGGCACCGCGCTCCCTGCGCCCGCCACCGGCACCCAACGGCAACAGTTGGACCCCCGGTCTGCGGGGACACCCCCAGCGAGGCACAGAAAAGTCAAGGGTCTGGCTCCGAGCAGGAATTTCCATCCCTCCCTAATGAAATATCTGCTGGTGGCACGGAGGAATGGTTCTAGCCCAGAGTGTGGTTTTGGTTTAGCAGTTACAGCGGCATCCTGTAATCATTTACAGCCCTTGGAATGTATGGGTGAAATAGGAGAGATTTATCTGTTCATAGTTGTGATATGTAGACAATGGGTGTTCCTAATGAGGAACATCTGCTTTTGTGTTTTCCCAGAAAACATTATTCCACTATGAAAATGATACTCCCATCCTTTTCAGCAACACCGCAAAGAAAATATGGGCCTTTTCCTTTCTTTTATTTGCTTTTCTTTGGGTCAATCTAATTTCCCAGGGACACTTTTTCTGTGGCATCTTTTTACTGACTGCGCTGCAATTTACGGTGGGTTTGTTCTTTAACACGTGAGTTACTGTGCTGGAGGAGCAGCCCCGAAATGCCAGCAGATACTTAAATGTGTACAGTAATAAAAGCCTCCCYGCTCAGCCATGCTCCGTGAGAAACATCCAGGCGACGTAAATAAAAATTCCCAGTGAATTAAAAGGTCGCGGAGGCTCCTGACACCGAAAACCGCTTCCAAGGCCTCGGGTTTGGCTTTTACATTTCCAGCCCGCTGCAGGACTCAAACACAGAATTACACAAGTTTATTTAAAATATCAGCGCTGCTAATAAATTATTGCTCCTGAGGTGCATAAGGGKTTTTTTCCTCCTGTTTTTCKGTTGTTGTTTTTTYTTAATCCCAGTGCATAAACGATGCTGACTATCACACTCTCCTAGTGTGGGCTGGAAGAAATGGGTGGCCATAGATCTCAATTCAGGATTGAATTATTGGTTCATATCCTGAGGACAAATATGCCTTATCTGGTCAAAAGCTGCTAAATGTATCCAAAGGACAAAAGGATCTAGTGAA